ACGATATGGGATGACATATGTAATCTCAGTAAAATGGTGGTCATTTACTGAGATTTTTTCAGTGAACTTTTTGGAAGATCCCGAGAAGTTACGTTCAGCGGCTTTGTTTCATTTTCCCACATTTTTGCACTTTAACAGATATTAAAAAAGTTAATAAATCACCTTTATTACACATTTAAACCTGAAGAAACACTAAATAGACAAAATAAAACAAATCACACAACTTCACTCCTCGCGTTCCCGCCAAAAAGTCCCTCCCTAAATTTTTTTAAGTGATTTTATGACCTGGTAACTAAGACCTTTAAGTCATGCCTTATTTTAATTTATATTCTTATTTTTATGAAAAATGATATTAAGGAGTGAAATGAAATGAAAAGGATTAATTTGAGACGTTAATCAACTGGGATGAAATTAAATGAAATGAGATGATATGGAATGAAATATAATCTTAGTAAAATGGTGGTCATTTACTAAGATTTTTTCAGTGGACTTTTTGGAGGATCCCGAGAAGTTGCGTCCAGCGGCTTTGTTTCATTTTCCCACATTTGTGCACTTTCACAGATATTAAACAGTTAATAAACCACCGTTATTACACATTTAAACCCGAAGAAACACTAAATAGACAAAATAAAACAAATCACACAACTTCACTCCTCGCGTTCCCGCCAAAAAGTCCCCTCCCTCCCTAAAATTAGTGTTAAAGACATAGATTATACACTTATTAGTCAAAGAGTAAAATATTCTGAAGGAAAGTAATATCTAAGCGATCTTTACAACGGTGCTTATTGTTCTATGGATATTAAACTGTGTGTAAAAAAGTGCTTTTTAATGTTACAATAATTTGTTGTAGTATACTACATACTAATATTATATTAAAGTTTAATTTAGATTAACATTACCTAAAATCACGAGGTGTTTACTCTTTCGAATTAGGTTATGTTAGTGAGTCTTTTTTATTCAAAAATTTTGAAATCAGAATGGCCGAGAAAGATTCAAATAGTAATTGTCGTATAGTATCATTAGCGTGGCCATGTGTCAAAAAGAAAGTGGAATGCGTAGGGTCAGCATTCCTCAGATATTATAATATTAAATGTCACGGCGATGATCCATCCTTTACCGAGTCCAAATCTCACGAGAAGGCGGAGGAGATAGTCTTCGATGACGATGTGGAGTACTTGCGAAGCCTCGACCCTAAGGAGTGGAAGTCACAGGATCACTATGCGGTACTTGGTATGAAGGAACTTAGATATGAAGCTACTGATGACGACATTAAACGCGCTTACCGGCAAAAGGTTTTGAAACATCATCCCGACAAGCGTAAGGCGCAGGGCGAGGACATCAGGAGTGACGATGATTACTTTACATGTATCACTAAAGCATATGAAATCCTCGGGACACCAGTCAAACGTAGGTCTTATGATTCAGTTGACCACACTGTGGATGATACCATCCCCTCAACGGCTGAGATTAAGAAAGAAGGATTTTTCGAAGTATTTTCTAAACATTTTGAATCAAATGCTAGGTGGTCAGAAAAAAAGAATGTTCCATTACTTGGTGATGAGAACAGCTCTCGGGAACAGGTAGAAAGGTTTTATGCATTTTGGTATGAGTTTGAATCGTGGAGAGAATTCTCGTATCTTGATGAGGAAGAGAAGGAGAAGGGGGCTGATAGAGAGGAAAGAAGATGGATAGAGAAGCAGAATAAAGCTGCTAGAGCTAAACTAAAGAAAGAAGAGATGGCAAGGTTGAGGAGTTTGGTAGATCTGGCTTATACTTACGATCCTAGAATACAGAGGTTTAAGCAAGAGGACAAGGATAAAAAACTGGCTGCCAAAAAAGCCAGACAGGTAGATATGCATTAATGAGGCTTTTGAATCTATTTCAGATAAGACATTTATATTTTTATTAACATTAAATGTGTAGATGCTACCATTAGCAGCCGCTTTGGTTAAGTGGTTACTGATGCATACCGACATCAATGCAAATGCTGTCATCCACCTTTTGGCACTGGTACATTGCACTAGGTGAGATTGTGGTAACATACTCAACCAGTCCGCAACACAAAAATGTTATAAGTTGTTTTCTTTACAAATAAGCCAAATTAATACTAAATAAGTCTTAGTAAAGCAACATTGCTGCTAGTTAAGAATTTTAATAAATAAAATAAATTTGATAAATATGAATACAAAGTAGATTGAACATCAAATTTGATTTCAGGATGCTGTTCAGGCTAAAAAAGCAGAAGAAGAGCGTATAATGAGGGAAGCTCTCCTCGCTAAGCAAAAAGCAGAAGAGGCAGAGAGAGCACGTCTTGATGCTGCTAGAGCTGAACGAGAAATACAAAAGAAAAATTTACGCAAGGAACGAAAGGCACTTCGTGATCTTTGTAAGGCAAATAACTATTATGCCCAAGGGGAAGATCAAACTGTGACACATATGGCAGCTGTTGAGAAAATCTGTGAAGTCATGAAACTCACTGAACTTCAAGATTTTATGAAAGAACTTGGAATTAATGGTCGAATTGCTTTTGTTAAGACTGTGCAAGAAACAGAAGAAAAACTTGAAGCAGAGAGGAAAGCATTATTTGATACAAAGAAACAAGATGAGCAGAAAATAAAGAAAGATGCTGTTCTGAGGACACCTGTTGAGTGGACTGTTGAGATGACACAGATGCTCATTAAGGCTGTGAATTTATTCCCTGCTGGCACAAACCAGAGGTGGGAAGTGGTGGCAAATTTCTTGAACCAGCATTGTACATTTATTGATGACAAACGGCTATCAGCAAAAGAAGTATTAAACAAAGCTAAGGACTTACAAAGTTCAGACTTTTCAAAAAGTAGTCTAAAGAAAGCTGCCAATGAAGAGGCCTTTGACCAGTTTGAAAAAGAAAAGAAAAAAATTTCCAATCACGTAGACAATACCGGAATTTCAAAGAGCGATAAATTGGTGAATGGAACTACCACTGCTGAGATCAAGCCTGAAGAAAAACCCTGGACCAAAACAGAACAAGAATTGTTGGAACAAGCAATTAAGACGTTTCCAGTAAACACTCCAGAGCGGTGGGAGAAGATCTCTGACTGTATCCCGAATCGATCAAAAAAAGACTGCATGAAGAGATATAAAGAGTTAGTTGAATTAGTAAAAGCAAAGAAACAAGCCGCAAACTTGTCTAAATAACACTCAAATGATATTAGTTTAGTAACAAATTGAATGTCTGTAGATCAGACCATTGCCTTCATGTTGTAAAATATAAACGAGATTGTTTTATATGGAAATGATATGACAAAAAATTTAAAGACTAAAATGTAAAAGATTGTTAAATTATGAGCAAATAATTCCATTCAGGTTAAATGTACTCTACGTAACGGTGTGTTTCATTCCTCACTCACTACTCGTCCACTGTTTGACATTGCAACCGCTCATTGTGTCCTAACATAATAAGTTCCATCCTATTTCATATTTTTGTATTTATTTTTTGTTTTATGTGATGAAAATAGTTAATTTAAAATTTACATTGTTTTATTTTTTCTTTCAATTGATGACGGCGGCGAATATCGATAATCGACCTGTTTACGACCCATTTGGACTTGTAGGTACTGTCTTGAATTCATTTAATTTCATAATTATATGATGATAATTGTTTATTTCTGCCGCGAAGCATTAACGTGTTCGATTTGAAGGGAGGGCCAGCTGTGGTACTGAGACTTGGAATCCATGTTTCAAGGAGGGCGGTGGCGATTACGATTTGATATCCATGGGCTCCACTAACCACTTAGCATCAGTTGGCTGTGAGTTCGTTAAGTTTTGATGTCTATTCGAACTCTTGGCTTCAAATTTGGCTTGAAAAAATTACTTGGATCAGTTTCTTGCCCAGATGTCTCGGAGTTCTATAGTGATGTAATTAAGATTTACTGGAGGTAGGACCTCTTGAGAGTCCGCGCGGGTAGGTACCACCATCCTGCTTATTTCTGCCGTGATGCAGTAATGCGTTTCGGTTTAAAGGGTGGGGCAGCCGCTGTAACTTTTTTTTTTATTGCCCTTGTAGGCAGACGAGCATACGGCCCACCTGATGGTGAGTGGTTACCGTCGCCCATGGACTTCAGCAATGCCAGGGGCAGAGCCAAGCCGCTGCCTACCGCTAAGCCTATACTATACCTGAGACCTTAGAACTTCTGTCTCAAGGTGGGTGGCGCATTTATGTTGTAGATGTCTATGGGCTCCGGTAACCACTTAACACCAGGTGGGCTGTGAGCTCGTCGACCGATCTAAGCAATAAAAAAAACCACCAGATTTGTGATAGGTTAATTTGTGGATCGGCAGGATTCGAAATGACGTGTTGTGGCTGTTGTGGGCGACGTCGATGTCTTCTTCATGTCATCTCTGCAACGCTGTTATAGTCGATACAAGTACACAATTATCGAGAAAATTCTCGGGTAGTACTAGTCGTTTCCATATATGGTTCAGCTATTTGATAATAGATGGCGTTACACTTCTCGAGCGTTCTTGATATTACTAGTTCTTTTGATATTCGTTTCTGCTATTTGATGACAGATGGTATTACTCTTACTGTCATAACACAATGTTTTAAAGGATTACTACCTATTACTTGACACAAGTAGGTACTTACTCCATCTACTTCGCCCCGGTTAGATTTCGACCAAGTAAATAAATAACACGCATGAAACTTAGATCCTGCCAACTCTGTGTGCCGTCAGGTCAGAGTGTGTTTCAATCAGCTGACTTCACTTGTACCTTTTTGGAATTCGGAGAATCCGCTCGATTGGGCGGGCTGCAAAACTTCAGACTTTCGAAAGCAATGCAAAGTTGTTGGGATTTTTACAATATTTTTTACATTAATTAATTTATTTAATAATTTTTACTCTTGTTCTCTTCACCCTATTCCGTTTTACAAAACACAGATAGCAAGGTTTTCATGAGAAAACTTGGAATATTCTATAAGGGTTTTAAATAATAAGATTCACAAGTATATATTGAAATTACTCATTTTTATTGAATAAATTTGTATCAGTAGAAATTGACATCGACAATAGTTAACAATTTTAATAATCAATTTAAAATATTAACTTAACAGTCCTAAGTTTGAGATGATTTAATTTGAACTTATTAATTCAGTGAGTTCAATTAACAATCAACATTGTCCTTAAATCTATGTACATATTATACTCGTAAATCTGCAAGACATCGTTTTTTCTTTCTGTTCATTTTTTTTTGTATTGTAGATGCCGTAAATCCTCAGCAATGCCAGGGGCAGAGCCAAGCCGCTGCCTATTCTGTCACTGATTATGGTCAAATGTTGATTATTCATGAAAATAAATAGAACAAAAATGACATTCTGTAATTAATTAATAGAATAGGTATCATAAAAGTGTTGTCATTATGTTCACACACACTAAGTATTAGATTAAATATTAACTATTCATGTTTGGTTCGGTTTCATCTGGGCACTCAGTGGCCACAGATGCAATTAAAGCTTACATTACTTACATTATACACCTGTAAAATATTAAGATAGTGTAGAATATAATACTACATACTATGAAATAACACTTGATATGACAAAATAATATTACTTTATTGCATATTATAAATTAGGTATGTTTTAATGGTGGTACTGCACGAAAGCCCATATTTGTTGGTGCCGCAGTCCTGACTGTTTATGTTGCAAGGTTGTCTGTGGCATTGCTGTAGGCTTGTCTGTTGTTTATATTAACAATGACTAGGCCATTAAGTAATTTACACAAATATGCCATAAAAAAAGAAATTAAGATTGGTAGTATGTAGAGCAGTGAGAAATTATACTACCATTTTAATGTTATTTCCACTTCAGTGCATATATATTCATTATTATACATAGGTTAGAGTATTACAAAATTTCTAATTAATTCCATCCCATATGTTTTACCAGCACCATTTTGGATAATGAAATTCACTAATAAAATATCTTGTGGGATTATTATAAAATCAGTCTTAAATAGTAGTATCAAGAGATTAAGTACAGATTCTTCGTTATTATCTACATTGATGACAACAAGCTAGAATAGTCATAAACATTGTAGATTTAGAATTTATCTTGCTAAGCTCCTACTTATTTAGAAACGATTCTAAACAATTACAACTGTTATGTCATAAATCAACTTAAAAAACACAATATATATATATATATTCAATCATAATCACAAAATGGAATGTTATCCTAATGCTACTCTTATTACTAAAAGGCACTTGGTGAATTGCAATAATTATATCAAATGGCTCATTGGTCGATACAGGTACCTCAGCACTTACATATAACCCAACCCCATTTCAAATTTTAAAGCAATACATTATAATATTGCTAATGAACTTAGAAAAGTTTATGTCAGTGACTTACTGTATTTTACAACCGCGTCGTTTCTTTTCCTTGTTAGCTTGTTTATTTTTTTTTTTAACCAAATCATCTGCTGTCATATCAGAAATTACTGACAACCTCTTGGAAGTGTCATGAGTTTCTGATGCAAGTCTAGAATGAGTTCCTAAGTCTGATGGAAATGTGGAACTGTATAGGTTGTTATTTTCACTAAAGCTATGAGATATGTTCTGACTGCTGGACCCATTTTCTGTCGGATCCTCTGTAGAATAATGCGAAGCAGGCCGGATGATAACAGGATCAGGAAATCGTGGCTTTTTACTTGTAGATGGAGGAAGGGGCGGGTGTCTGTGCTGTAAACCAACTGGAGAATTATGAGTCCATTTATCGTTATCAAAAGATCTGGATTGTAAATTTGAAATATTGTTATTAGATTTCACTACATCAGACTTTTGTGTGATATACTGTTTGGAGAACTCCTTTGCTTTTAAAGCACTAGTTCGAGACTCAATATGTTCTTTCTCAAATGGCTCAACATAATTCAAATCTGAATCAACTGATTTACAAAGACGTAATCGATTTTCCTTAATCATATCTCGTGGGTTGCTATATGCATCACAGAGTTCAGCCTGTGGAGGGCTTGGGTATTCAATGTCTCTTTGTAAATGCTGTTGTGGCGCTACACGCTGCTGCTTCTTTAGCAATGCTTTCTGTCTGGCTTTTTCTTTTGCTCGTTGCAATTTTTTATATTCCCTTTCTTGTAATAACCTGGCTAATTCACCATCCTGTGCTTCTACAGCATACTTCATGTCAGTGAGGAGTGCATCACGGTCATTTGCTTCATGACTCAGCTCTCTAGCAAGCCTTGCGTCTCTTTCTTCTTGTTCCATGCGTCTTCTTATCTCCTCTAGTTCTGCAGACGAGAGACCTAATTCCTCTGGGTTTAAGTCATCAGAGGCTATAGGGGGAGGTGTCTTCATAGGTGCTCGAGATGAACTTGGTTGCTGGAGATCCTCATTGCGTTGACGACGTTGTCTCCGTAAATTTATCTCCGCCATCTCACGTGCGATTTCTGCATCTATTTCAGCTTGCCGACGTCGAGAATATTCACGCAAACGAGCTTCGTGCTCGAGGTCTTTCTGTTCGTTGACGGCGACAGGAAAATCTTCGCGGATCTGTTGATTTCTATACCTATTCTCGCAGAGGTGAGAAGATATCTCGCGGTCTTGCAAACGATGAGCAAGCGCTCCGTCGGTGCGCACAAGCCACTGTTCGCGCAGATCCGTTACGTGTCCGAACTTCGGCATAGTATCGCTTGCCTGAAACCCTGCCATCGTTCGTGCGCAACGCTAGAAAGTCGAGACTTTCCACAACGTTTGTCTTTAAGCGAAAATGTGGAGTTGCATTAGCAGCACGTTACACGAATTCGTTGTCAACACGACTATTCCGGACGTAAATAGTTGGACGATGACGGCACTAGTCAGTGCTAGTAACATCGCATACACTCTTACAACACGATAATATGTATTTGTATGCAGATACGTTTCACGACTTTCTGAGCGCTTTGTGAGCAGCGTGGGAACTTTTTAATTTCTCTCTGTGAACTAGTCAAACAATGGAAACAGAAAATTATCTATCGATGATTACTTTCGAATTAATGTATCCACCATCACTAACGCAGCTTTTATATTATATTCTTTGCTTAAAACCGTACATGTATATTTCGTAATTACATTATCTAGCAATGCNTACGTTTCACGACTTTCTGAGCGCTTTGTGAGCAGCGTGGGAACTTTTTAATTTCTCTCTGTGAACTAGTCAAACAATGGAAACAGAAAATTATCTATCGATGATTACTTTCGAATTAATGTATCCACCATCACTAACGCAGCTTTTATATTATATTCTTTGCTTAAAACCGTACATGTATATTTCGTAATTACATTATCTAGCAATGCTAGCATATTTTCCAAAACAAACACTTTTGTCATATAGTCATATTTAGTAGCTACCTACAGTAGGCGCGCGAGTTCATGTCCATCCTGAGGAATGCGGTAGTGCTGAACATAGTTAATTATGGTAATATCGATAATAGCTACCGATTTAGTCAAGAGCTGTCAATTTGGTTTAATGTGGTAGTTTTCCAATTACAGAGCATAATGCGACTCAGTGACGCACAATGCCGAATTATGCTGAAGCTTAATTGGAACGTGAATTAGTTTTCAAATGCATCAGCAGAGTGCGCTAAGTTAGCACAGTTTTAATTAGCATTGATTATTTCTAAGAAACTACGACGAAACGAAAGCCTTACAATTTTTTTCAACATTTAATAATATTACTAACGATAATATAAACAAAATTTCGATCAATGCCAACTTAAAGAAAAAACACTTGTCAATTTTTTGTCACTGAGTCGGTATCGATTACGAGTATCACGCGAGAGCAGTACTTTTGAGAGTGCTCGATTGTGCGAAGCGTTGCTGTAGTTGGAACATTCAACGTTGAGCATTATGCCGCATAATGCGCTCTTGTGCTGTAATTGGAAAACTACCTGTAACTAGCTCGTTTTGCAAATTATAAAATGAATGTAATAAGTAATTACTTATTTATTTCTAATAGAGAAAAATATTTTTTAAATTCCGATTCAATTACTATCAGATGAAAAGACAACCGATAGATCAGAGTCCGAATCAGTGTAGGTTTTTTTCTACCTGAACTTGTTGGAGTAGTTGGCGGTAGTTCTTTTGACGTTCAACAAGTATGTACTTTCATTTATGTTGAATAATTTTTTTTTATTTGATTTGATTTGATTTGGAAGCGGAGTAGTCATGGACATGAACTCGCACGCATACTGTAGGTACCTACGTGTATTTATTAATTAGGTAGGTACCTACCTATGTCATTTATGGTAGCATCGGGAGGAGAATAGGTAGGTAATAAATATGCAGTGATTATCTATGGGTCACTCCCATCAAATGTCATCAAATGGACTTTTTGGCGGGAACGCGAGGAGTGAAGTTGTGTGATTTGTTTTATTTTGTCTATTTAGTGTTTCTTCAGATTTAAATGTGTAATAACGGTGGTTTTTTAACTGCTTAATATCTGTAAAAGTGCACAAATGTGGGAAATGAAACAAAGCCGCTGGACGTAACTTCTCGGGATCCTTCAAAAAGTCCACTGAAAAAATCTTATTAAATGACCACCATTTTACTGAGATTATATTTCATCCCATATCATCTCATATCATTTCATTTCATTTCATCCCAGTTGATTAATGTCTCAAATTAATCATATTCATTTCATTTCACTCCATATTATCATTTTTCATAAAAATAAGAATATAAATTAAAATAAGATATGACTTAAAGGTCATGATTACCCTAATACCCATAAATCCATAAATTACCATAAATCCCTTAAAAAAATATTCATCAAATCCCTCTATTATTTTTTGAAATGATGATGAAAAATGATAATATGGCGTGAAATGAAATGAAGATGATTAATTTGAGATCAACTGGGATGAAATTAAATGAAATGAGATGAGATCATGTGGGATGAAATATAATCTCATTAGAATGGTGGACATTTAGTGAGATTTTTTCAGTGGACTTTTTGGAAGACAAAATAAAACAAATCACGCAACTTCACTCCTTGCGTTCCCACCAAAAAGTTAAAAATCTCTCTATAATTATTTAAGGTGCTGCTAGCCAAAATTATGGTAGATGGNGGATGAAATTAAATGAAATGAGATGAGATCATGTGGGATGAAATATAATCTCATTAGAATGGTGGACATTTAGTGAGATTTTTTCAGTGGACTTTTTGGAAGACAAAATAAAACAAATCACGCAACTTCACTCCTTGCGTTCCCACCAAAAAGTTAAAAATCTCTCTATAATTATTTAAGGTGCTGCTAGCCAAAATTACGGTAGATGGAAGACAATTACGGTAAGGTTAAAATAAAATTGATCTTATCCGATTCCAGGCGACGCGGATGGGGCAAAGCAAAGCCGCCACCGCGCCCTGGCCCAAAACATGACGTCTAATCAGATCCCCAGATCCACTCTCGGTGCTTTAAGGTTCTCCAAGCACCGCTCACCGGTTTCCGCCCTCGTCGAACTCGGCGACTGTGACGAAGAGTTCGACATGCGAACTAACCCATAGACACAACCCACTGTAGATTCATTCGCGAACTAGCTGGTTTTATGTCATTAGGTCCCTTTTGGAGGTGTTCGGGCAGCTATCAGCATATCCCATCCCTTCTGGCTATGCCTTTGCTCGCCCACCTGTCCTGATGATCTGATGAAACTGGAAAGACATCCGAGCTACTAATCATCCCTAAATCACAAAAAAAAAGCAAGACTTTAACAAACCTGTTTTTTTTAAAGGGATTTTATGACCTGGTAACTAATACCTTTAGGTCAAGGTAACAAACTGTACATTTGAGAGGTGAATGAAGTTAGCCCCTCAAAAAAAATTTTTTTTCCTGTTTTCTACTTATTTTCTATTAATTCGTTTGTTCATCATTTGTTCTTGATTGTTCATTGTTAATAATTGTTTGTTCCCCATTTATTTATTTTAAAAAAAATATTAAAAATATATCTAAAAGTTAGCCCCTCGATTGCAATTTTTAATATTTTTTCGTCCTTAATTACTNGACGAAAAAATATTAAAAATTGCAATCGAGGGGCTAACTTTTAGATATATTTTTAATATTTTTTTTAAAATAAATAAATGGGGAACAAACAATTATTAACAATGAACAATCAAGAACAAATGATGAACAAACGAATTAATAGAAAATAAGTAGAAAACAGGAAAAAAAATTTTTTTTGAGGGGCTAACTTCATTCACCCACATTTGAGTCTTACTACTCAACCAAGCGAAATGCGGCCCCCTTCCCGATTCCCCGCACGCTCTACCGCTGTTGCCCACGACACCGCGACGGGTGCGCAAACCGGCGCATGCGCAATGTAGGCGTGAGGTGGTGGTTTGCAATATTTGAGAAGTGTCTAATCTATGGCTAGTAGGGTTACGACGTTACCGTGGTCACTCGTTATTTTTGCGCGCTTCTTTTTGATTGTTATAGTTTAGTTGTTATTAGTGTATTTTTTTGCCAAATATTGTTGTTGTTGATTTAAAGTTTTACTTGTTGTTGTTATTATTTAATTGTAAAAATTAGTAAAACCATACATAGCGGAGAACGCAGATTTTAAAAATTGAGTTTTTTGAACTGGAAAACAAGAAGAAATCTTACATTATTCCGATCGACAATATTATTAAAAGAACTTGGCAAGCAACGGGAGTGTCAAAACGAACAATAATGAGAATTAAAAATGAATTTAAAAAATTGAAAGAAAGTTCTGCGTTGGAAATACAGATCCCAGAAGCATCAACATCAGCGACCTCTCATATGACTCTTGTACCTAGGCTTACAACACCTCGCAAGAAGCGATGTCTGAGTAATAAAATTAACGTAGACAGTTTTACTATTTGTGCCATACGCAATATAATAAGTAATTTTTATGTTGTCAAAAAGGAAGAAAAAATATTAACTCGAATTCCGAATAAAACGCACATCGATGAATAATAAAGCGCACATATCACTATCCGTCAAATTGACAACACTGGCAACCTACAGAAAGAATTTAGGGGAATTCCCTAAGCATAACATTTGAATTTCTCTCATCTGAGTTGTCATGAATAAAGTGGGGTTGCAGCCCGTCATATTTATTTTGAAAATAGGAGAAATTTCCATAAGTTCAGATTGATCGAGATTTCTGGTAAGGATTCGAGGGCCCCCTGAGATTGGAAATCTGAAGATGCAAAGTCAGGACTATACGGCGGATGCATTAACATCTCCCAGCCAAGCTCTTAATTTTTGCTGAGTGGCTAAAGATGTGTGAGGTCTAGCGTTATCATGATGGAAAACGACACCCCTTCTGTTGATTAATTCCAGCCGCTTTTTCTCAACTTCTTGCTTTAATCTCATCAGTTGTTCGCAGTAGAATTCAGAATCGATAGTCCTGCCTGGTGGTAACAGCTCATAATGAATAATGCCCTTCCAATCCCACAACACACACATCATCACCTTGTTGCGAGTTAGCCCGGGTTTCGCCAGTCTGTGAAGCCTGACCGGCCTTTGACCACGACCTTTTTCGGACGTTCTTGTCGTACCTGATCCACTTGTCCAATGTTCGGTCTCATTACGTCGTAATAAAGAATCACAAATGAGTACACAGTTCATGAACGGTCACTGGTGTTTGAAAGGCCTAAAAGCGCCGATAGTGGATCGGGAGGATCTTAAATGAATTGTTTTTAACAGTATTTATGGCTAGGCTATATGATAGTATGTTATGTGTGCAAAGAAACTTTATTTCTAAAACGTAACGGTTTATTGTTTAGAATTCAAGTAAGATATTTTCAAAAGCTGAAATACAATTTTCGATAATAGAACACAGCAGACAAATAAAAATACAAAATTACCTGGCACATTCGCGCACAATCCATTTTATGCATGTATGAGTTTACCTGCTTTTTATTTTACAAGTCACGAGACAGAGAGGTAGTCAACGCTGCTTTGCGAGGACGCCGTGTCAAACTACTTACACATCACAATGTCCATTTTTCGGTGTAATATGTTAAAATTTACATCAATTAAATTGACACGACATTATTCAAAATTCGAGTGTAAAGAGGGGTAAGCTATTCTTTGCTTATTAAATTTCAAGTAATACAAAGACAAAAGTGTTCTAAAAATACAATTATGATTTACAGTTTATGTGCATTCAAATTAAGTAAACTAGACGATGACCGAGCTTTGCTCGGTATTTTTTTTATATTTTATATGAAAAAGACACAAATAATATAAATAAACAAACCAAACACTCATTGGCTTCGGGTGGCTTAACAACGCCATCTGCTGAAATAGCTCAATAGTATTATTATTCACCAATAGATGTCGGGAAGAGTCAATCGATAAAGTTGAAAATTGAAAACACGATTAAAACAACATTTTCTGAAATAATTCGTAGCTAGATCGATTTATCGCCCCCAAAATCCCCTGTATACTAAATTTTATGAAAATCGTTGGAGCCGTTTCCGAGATTCAGATTATATGTATATTAATATACAAGAATTGCTCGTTTAAAGGTATAAGATATGTATCAATATTTTTATTATTTATCAATTCTGTAACAAAAAAGTTGCCTTGACTGTGTAATTTGCTATTATATACACACTCGTAGTACAGGTAGTCATAAAATTGAAATCACGAATTTGAGATCAAAGTTTATGAGAATTGAATTTCAATTACATGGAATTTAAATAAACTTGTACATGACGGAGTGATGAAGTCCTGGTGGTTTTAAAAGGCGTGACGTCAGGCATGCTGAGATCACTTATCATCAGCGTGGCCACTCATGTTTGCTTAGAAGTAGCCGTTTATTTCCTTTTTTTAATATTCCAACCACCCTCCTATAGTACAAACATTAGCTTAATACCGGTCACTCACATTCGCACGAATACGCAAACCCGCAAGTGTAGGAAGACATTTGCAAATGATTATTCAAAGTTTTCGCTGCATTCGTGGTTTTCCAAGCTGTCGGTTTTTTAACAGACATCAAAGCGCGCGAGCCGCGATCTTTCGCGTAGTCTCACTAGTCTCCCACACATTCGTGTGACCAGTTGACCAGTTGCGCCCAGGATTGCGAAGGCAACGGACGTTTCGCTATTTTCATAGATCGTGACGTCTACTGTGTAGCATATCTTCATCAAAAGAAATCCCATAAAAACAGCATGGCTGTTAACGATGTCTGGGAAAGAATTCAAAACTCTTTTTCTATTCAATGTTCTATTGACGATTTAAAAAGGAGGAGAAATTCGTGAGACATTCGTAAACAAGTGTAGGAGGAAGCGCAAACGGTTTCGCAAATTGAGTACCGAACCCATTTGCACAGCCGCTAAGTTTGCGAATGAATGTTTGACGGCCCTTCACATGCTGATTTTGATGCGGTTTTTATTTTTTTTATTTTTTTAATACAGTCAAAACCGTTTACTACGACATCGTTTAATACAATATGCCGGTTATAATAACCAAGAACAAAGGTCCCGGCTGAATGCCATATGACCGCCTTATTAAAAATATTGCTTTCTACGACATTGGTAATAACGACATACCTCATAAAACGACCACATTTACTAATATTTCGGAGAATTAGATCTGTTAGAACGACCGGCTAAGCTGTATTGTAAACAATTTAAATAGGGATCCACATTTGTCTTCAATGGCTTTTAAAATCAGGAAAGAAAACAATAGGATTTAATTTAGTGTAGGGTCTTTTCTAATTCTTAGAAACAAAACACGTGCATGCGGAAGTCAAAGCCCACTTCTTCATATCTCTTCAGTTAGTTTGCTACTTATCTATACACAAGACGCACCAAAACTTTGTGGAGTTATTCGTGAAACTTTCAAAATCTCGCAAAGAAAAAGAAAACAAATTAATATTGAAGAAAAATCGCGTATTATGTAAATATATTTTTCCAATAATTCTCTATCGATTTGTTTGTACTTGCACGATACACATTAAACATCACCGGTTGTTACGACTATCGGTTTTTACGACTGAATATGAGCAGTCCCTTCGATGTCGTTATAACAGATTTTGACTGTAGATAGTGTGATTGAAGAGGAAGGTTTATATGTATAATAACATTCATTAAATAGTCGAGAACAGTCGCCCGCCGGCAGCCGAACAGAGCGGACGGGTATTTGGACGTATAACGTATATCTATCTGAATACGCGAGTGATTGCGCACGTGTCTATAATTTGGTTGTTGTTTTATTCAAATATTGTTTTGGGTTACCTTCAATCGAGGACGGGATTATTGACTAAATCGGGACTGCGCTCGGGCGCAGTCCGTCCGTATTCTGGTCAATGAGGTGTACGACTATAATCCTAGTGCACTATGAGTGAAAAAGCAAACGAGACTGTTGAGAGCAACAAAATGGAAGCTAATATGAGTAGACAAAATATGGAAGATGAACGAATACAATCAAGAAGGAATGAAGACGAAGAAAGTATTGATGAACAGCACAATAAATCTGGAGAAGTAGAAGAAGAAGACTTGATGGAGACTGAGTACAATATTAGACAAAATGAAGAGAATGAAGAAGACTGGACAATAGTAAAGAGGTCCAAGGCAAAACGCTGGAAACCGAACTCCGTTGATGTTTGCATCTCGAGCAAAAATCAGCTACCAAAACAATTCGCATTGGCCAAACTATTTCATCGACTTAATATTGGTGGTATAACTCGTGTGAAATATATTAATGCTTTTAAAGTCCTTCTAGCATTTGAGGACATAGCTTTTTCCGAAAAATTCGCAGCATGTCCTGAAATTCAAGAACAAGGCTGGAGGATTCAAAATTCATGGGAAGTAAATATCTCTTATGGAATTGTCAAAAACATGGAAATAGGCATATCTGAGGATGACCTTATGGAAAATATTAGGACCAGCAATAATTGCGAAATAGTAGCGATCAAACGATTGAATAAACGGAACCCGGCTTCGCCAGGATGGATAGACAGTGAAACCATTCGCCTCAGCTTCAAGGGTAACTCACTTCCGGAATATGTATATTTATTCAATACAAGGGTAAAAGTCGAAGCATATATTTTCCCCGTAACACAATGCTCAAATTGCTGGCGTTTTGGTCATAGTGCCAAATATTGTCCTTCTACAAAAATATTCTGCCCTAAATGTGGGAAACNTAACCTTAACTAGTAGGTGAGCTCACGGGGCTCAAACCTGACGACGTTGCTAACACGAACCCTAGCAAGAGCCGTGCTTCGCAGAATCTACCACCGGATCGGAAACGCGACCCACTGAGAAGATCCGGCGAGAAACTCAGTGGGCTGTGTCTGAGGGTTAATTTACTCGTCGAGCCCTTCGTCGCAAGCGACGGGTTCGACGAGAACGGTGACCGGTGCTTGAAGTACCTAATCGGAAGTGGATCGGGAGGATCCGAAATGACGTGTTTTGGGCGACGTCGACTGCTTTCCATTCTTTCCGCAGGATCGGGAATGTAGTTACCGGCGGCCGCGATGAGAGGGTTCTCGTGTCGTGCCGATTTATCGAAGTGAAAACTATCCGGGATAAATTTCACACTACTAGCAATCACGCCACACCTGGCACTTGAGTGAAACTTCTACTTGACTTAATTCGCTTAATTCGCTTTTCTATTTACCTACATTTTGAATTAGTGTATCAAAATTTGTCATTAACCACAGTGATTTACTATATTGTATGGATAATTGACTTAGTAATGTAAATGTTAGCTTAGAGTAATTTATTTTAACTAAATTAAATACTGTAAGGCCTCTCTAGTCAGAAATTTTAATAATTAAGTAACTTTTCGAAACAACTTTTACTGGTGGTAGGACGTCTTGTGAGTCCGCACGGGTAGGTACCACCACCCTGCCTATTTCTGCCGTGAAGCAGTAATGCGTTTCGGTTTGAAGGGTGGGGCAGCCGTTGTAACTATACTTGAGACCTTAGAACTTATATCTCAAGGTGGGTGGCCCATTTACGTCGTAGATGTCTATGGGCTTCAGTAACCACTTAACACCGGGTGGGCTGTGAGCTCGTCCACCCATCTAAGCAATAAAAATAAAATAAAAAAACAATGGATCGCAGCACATTTTTCCTCATGTAATATAATTTAAATATATAATAATATCATAAACAGTTTCGGACTGCAATGGACACGTCTATTCATCCCTTTATTCAATGACAATTACATAAGAGCAAGCCCCAGTCGTCGGAGCTGACACGCACCATTTTTACAAAACTGCTATAGTAACTACAAACACTGCCCAATTAAACAAAATTTTGTTTAAGATAATCCTAATTTCTCACTGGTAACCTCTTTATTTCTAAACCAAACTAAATTTAAACTACAAGCTTGAACAATAACATTATTGTAATACGGCTAATATAAAATCAAAATATATTTCATTTGATTGACGTAATCTTAAAATATGAACGAACTAAAGTCTTTTGTTAATGAACCTGATCGTCCGCACAAGAATAGAAGTGTTGTTTACCGCAAGTCCGTTTCTATAAACAATTCGCATCTCTCATCTGAGAGTAAAGGCCTTAGATTAATCAGATGTTCTAATGGAGAAGAGATGACTAGAGTTGCCGATTCAAACGATTTATTAAGATCAATCAGTTTACAGATGTTCCTGATAAAATTTAGTTTATATAGGATGCCCATGTTTCATTAATAAAAAAACAAAATGTGTGCAATACACACGTGGTAGAAGTGAAACCTTCCAAAATTAAAATACAATTATCCTAAACGTCTTAAGTATATGTAAAATTTTGTCATTAGTAAATAATTGTAAGGTAGCGCCCTCTGTGAATTGATATTTTAATTTCACGTATAATCCTAAATTAAAATTCCCTACAAGAGCTTTCATACACACGTTAGTATTAAAAAATCTCACAGATGGCGCTGTATTAAATAGTATGTATATTTCTGTCTCATTCTTTGCTGGCTTCATCCTACACATTTTTGTATTTGTCTCTCTTACCTGTCGTTTTTTCCGTTGCATCCGGTTTGAAATCACAACGATTCTAAAGAAGTTTTCACTTCAAAAAAAGATTAATACTATTATATATTTGAAATGCTAAAGTAACTCAGCTGAACGAAATGAATACGCAACCGATCCATAAATTCATTACATCGTTAAACCGAACACATCGAAATGTAAATTTCAAAAGAAAAATCGCTTCGCTAATTTACGATTCCGACAGAATCGAAAGGAACGTATTACGCCAACCAATATTTAAGCGTTTCCGATCATTTATCACATCGCACGACGATACCCATCTGCACGAACTCGAAAATTCGACACAACGTAAACAATACGTTCAACGTACACTCGCCAAGAAAACGTATCCGTGGACAATATAGACACAGTTTACAGCCGAAAATTTCTGTACTTCAACTCAACGGATTTCCCTGTTCGAGATATAAAGACTTTACAAATACGTGTACGCTCACTGACCGTTACTGATATGCATTTACGCGCAGTATATTCCGAGCTTCCGCAACAAAAGGTATTCGGGGTTACGTTATGTTTTTTTTTTTTTTTTTTATAAATCTTTTAATTGTGCTCCAGTGCGATGTCAGTGAATATTGATATGGAAAATTTCTCGCGAAAAAACAATCTCCGGAGGCGTACACTGAACACTCTCAAGTCAGCTGTAACAGCATTGAAACAAATCACCAGTAAGTGGTATTATTGTGTGAACACACTTTTTTGTGAATATACGTTTTACCTTGAGAGGAAACTTGATTGGAACTTGAGCCAGGCCGCATTCGAACAGTTCGATCGGTTCGATTGATAGTGTCAGAATGGGATATGTTTTGTCACACAAATCTTTCGACGAGATCTATCGATCAGACCAGAGCGAGGCACAGTTAGGCTATATGGTAATTGCTTTCAATGAATAAATATCAAGCACCAATGACGATGTTAGCTTTTAATTTTAAAATATATTTTTATAACAATTGAGTCAAGAAATTCATAGTTAGAAAATCTCAATTAAATATGTTAAAATCCAGTTATGAAAACAAAATAAGTAATAAGGATTCAATAAAAGATTAACCGGTTCAGTGTGTTTCGTCGATTCTTCTCAGGATTGCGGCAAGGGGTTTTCCATGCAATCGGCCTTAATTAAGTTGTTTTTTTTTTCAATTTAAATTTAAATGTGGTGTGTACATAAATGAATCAATAGAATCGCAGTTTCATAAAAGTATTACGACTTACATTAATATCTTCAAGCTATAATAAATAAATTTATAGAACTCTACTAATACAGTTCTAGAGCTTTCTTTAAATATCATTCTTTGAATTTGCTTTTGTTTGATCTTAAAATTAACATAATATACTCAATGGCCCGTAATTTTTTATTCGGAATTGTTTTAGTAAGAAACATAGGAACAATTCGTTAAGTATTTTCAAACCTCAACGAAGTAATGAAGGTGTCATTCAGAGGCTTACAGAAGCCATTGTATTCTCGGGATACTCTCAAACCATCACTGTTCTGAAGTCCTCAACTTGTCAAGAACAGCAATTATTACGCAGCGTACATCTCAATCACTTGACATAAGACAAGCAAACGCTTGCGAGTACGTCCGCGGGTAAATTCGATTGTTTGTCTCAAGACGCTCTAACAAGATATCAGTGCTTTTAAAATGACAAAGGAAGATTAAATTGTTGCCAATAAAAAAAAACATATTCGAACATTATTATAAACACACTCTATTAGCCTGGTATGGACGTAAGTTTGTTACGGAAATTTTAAACGAAATTTTCACCGTCATATTTTCAACAAATAATGACTAAACAATTAGTTTATAGCTTCGCTAATATCCTCACCAGTATGAACAGGATAAACAAAAATGAAAATGTTAGTTCGATAATAGCCTCGCTCTAATATGCTGGCGAGTATCAATATAAAAAAGGTTAAGTTAAATCTTAGTTCAGTTCGGTTTATTTAAGCGCTTTTTGTTGTTTTTAAAGTACAAATATACTATTTATTTTAGAGAATCTACAGTTCTCTAAAACTGTTCTTTCTTGTTCTTTAAAAAAAAACACGTTTGCCACTGGGGGTCTGCCGTGGTAAAGCTATTGTATCGCATGTTTTATCAACTTATACAATTATAATTAGACAATAATAATTTAATATTAAAACAATAATAAAATAAGACCACGCTATATTTTTCAGCATTAAATAAAGCAAAACATTAACTGACCCCTTAACACTAATAAGCTAGAGCGCGCGAGAGAGAGATGGGCAGACTTTTCATGATGCGCATGCAGTGCGTCGTCACGCCGCGCGCTTATTCACAAACACCACACAAGCGCAACGTGTGAATGTGTTGAACGCGAGCTACATGGTAGTCGGAGTAGGGGTGTTAGGTTTTATTTTCGTTATGGAATTTCTTGATTCGGTCGCCGCGCTCAAAGCCCGGGATAAAAGCTATGCAATAGCTTAAAATTTGTGGATTCTTAAGCCTTGCTGCTGTCGATGAATGGTGAGTCGCCTTCGAAGAAAATCTAATCTTGACGTTTATTAATGAACGCGAACAGAAACGCTATTGTCTCGTTCACTTGATTTGGTGAGAGGTGGTTGAAAGTGTTTCGAAATGAATTATGGAATGGATTTGCATAAATAAACCGCGTCTGTTAAAAGCTTTCGGCAAACTTTTCGCATATTTGACGAGATCGTTTCTTCTTCGAAATAACCACAATCAATATTTTAAAAAGAACCCTTTTTTAATTTTAACGTCGCTTTAAGCAAAAGTAGCTGCTATAATTTTTATGACATCCTAATCTACTGATTCACCCTAATTTCTACATTTAAACATACGTCTTGTAAAAAGTTATTGTTTCAAATTTAAATGTTAGACTGTGACATTAGAAAATTAAAATAACGTCAAGTTTTTGTAACAGAGAGATATGAAAGATTCTAATTCTAAACTAAAATTTATGAACAATGATTTAAAGACCCTAAAATAAAATAACACAGTACCATAGTAAATATACAAAAGCTGGATATGAATGTGTGTAATATATCAATCAGTACAAATTATAATCGGAATTAAAAATTTAAGATCATGGAAATACGGCATAATGCTTTGGAAGTGCTCTTACTGGTGGTAGGACCTCTTGTGAGTCCGCACCACCATCCTGCCTATTTCTGCCGTG